CATCTTTATCAACAAAGCGGATTCGAAGGTAAACTTGAAGGTAAATGTTAGGCAGTGTTATGATAAGATCAGATCACGTTTTTGATTTTCGATTTCCATCGATGTGACAAAAAATTTGTGATTATCGATTTCAATCGATTAAATTGACTAATCAATCGACAAATATCGAGTACTATCGAGTATTATCGATTAATCGATTACATTTTCGATGATCGATTTCTATCGATTAGATACGCCCTGTATGTAGCCAGACTTCGTCTTAATCCTTTCCGACGGAGAATGTATTTTCGGTTGGCTTGGTCGATGTTTCGGGATTCTGAACTGGGTGTCTTCTGACATGACTTCAAAAAGTTATAAAAATATTTGTCCGCCTGTGTTTCTTTTCCGAATTAAGTCCAGTTAAGTTACACAGAGTTGACACCAAAACTAACGTTGCTTACCTTTAAAAAGCAACTGAAAGAGCACTGGTGATTAATCAGATGTAGAACAATGAGAGAAATGATTGACAGGCTTTCAAATTAAATACGTAAAGAATGCAATGTTTATGATAGCAACCTAGCGATGTGTTGTTTTTTTATAAGACTAAGTTTCAATTTTTGCTTGTTGATGCGACATTATACAAAGCTATATACCTCAGAGGAGGAACTTAAAGAACAGTAAAGCTTTGTCAGAGAAAAGATATCACTCATCATAATATTCACCAAAATAAATGGCTAATCATTTTAAAGTTTAAAACAAAACCAGAGTAACTGGAAAGTTCGAGTCACTAATTTTATAGCGTGTAAATAATATTGGCCGACTGATTTCCTTAGAAAAACGAATAATTCGTGTCAGACAAATGATGCTTCTAACACCACTGCACTTAGGTCCAGACGCCGAAAACTCTTGTATTGACAAACAAAGCTATCACGAGGGACTGGAGACTGCTTATGACTTCATTACAAATGGAAAACAAGACCCCCAAAGTTCCTCTTTTCTAAGCAGATGTGCATACCGAATTATCAACACCCGCGACAGCCCTCTCTCTAAACGAAATTTCAAACAACTCAAGAACAACTACACTTCAATATTGCTGCGGTTAATCAAGGCTACAGAAATCATCTACTGGTAAGATTCTTAACTTAAGTTTTTTTTATAATATCTATAAATGTTAAGAAAAGTTTGATTCGATTTATGTTGCTTTGCGAGCAATATCACTTATTTGCTTAATCGATCAACTGTGACAGCAAGCCTTGCTTGCAACTTAAAATTCCTTAATGAACAAACAAATTGGTTTTTTATGTTCTCCTCCAGTTCGGGTGTTAATCTGATACTACATGTGCAACTGCAAAGTCACTGCAGGTTGGGTAATTTCAGATTTGTTTTGCGATTTTGAAATATTCTGAGGAGTCTTGATGACAGACTCAATTAGCAAGGAGTACACAATACCATAGTAAATTAAATGTGTTTTTCTGTGCCTTCAGCGACTAAAATAAAGACCCATGACTGAATGTATTACAATGGTAGCCGCTGCCATCTGCGGGCAATCTTTTTTGGTTAACATTGAAGGTGTTTTCTTTAATGAGCGGAAATTCATAACTAATTGTCACCAGCGTGACAGTTTTCTCTCGAAGCGAGAAATTACAAACATTTTCAGAAAAAATACTTTTACTTATAAACGTCAATATTTTCACAATCAATCAACGTTATAGAAAAAGTGGCAGGTAGATATTTTTTTCTTTTTCTCTAATGGCTATATACTGGGAGTATAAGTATTATTCGACCAACATTGCTTTGCAAACAATATCAAATGCTTTGCTTAATCGATCAACTGTGACAGCAACCTTGTCTGCAATACAAAATTCCTTAAGTTTGAACCACACCGCGTTGGCTTTCCTAGGAATAACGATTCTCTTACTGAATCAGAAAAGTAATTAAAATCTTCCGCGAAACTAACTTACGGTAAAAAGTTTCAATTTTTGCTTTAGTTGTTGAGAATGAAATTAGAAAGCTGCGTCAAAGGAGGTTTTACTTTTCGACAAAACTGGCCAGAGTAACTAGAAAGAGTCGCCGAATCCTAGAGCGTGTAGATTAACATTTGTTGCGTAATTCGTCTCAGAAATTACTTGTGCCTTGGTAGATACGATACACATCAAAACTCTAAGAAAGAGCGGTTTAAGAGCGGCTTGTGTGTCACATGTACTGTACAAAACAAAACCACAAAGTGCTTTCTTTCTTAGCGGATGTGCATACCGAATTATCAACACCCGTGACAGTTCAGGAGAACGAGCTAGAACGAAATTTGAAACAACTTCAGAATAACTACACTTTAACACTACTACTGTTAATCAAGGTTACTAAATCATCTACTGGTAGCGTTCTTTTCTTCACTTTTTCTCCGATCACGTCTATATATGTTGAGAAAAGATTGATTGGAGTAACATTGCTTTGCGAGCAATATTACATACTTGCTTCATCGATCAACTGTGACAGCAAGCCTTGCTTGCAACCTAAAATTCCTTATGAACAACAAAATTGGTTTTGTTCTTTTCTTTTCGTTAATTGGGGGCAATCTTGTTTGGTTAGCATTTGAGGTAGCCCCACTAGTAACATTCAGAACTATCAGAGTATATTTTTGCTGGCTAAATAGCTGGGATATTACAATACATAGAACGTTTTGGTGTGTATGCTAAAATTTGAATCTACTCAGTTTAACACTTGGCCAGGGTAGACAGTGATCCGACAACTAAATCAATTGAAAAAAATTACTCGTTTTTTTTTTTTTTAATTTATTTCTGTAGTTACAGCAAGTTGCTCCTACAAGGAAACTTATAAACCTTCAGTCTAAGCCAACTGTAAATGCACCACATTGCGATTATTCTCGAAAATGCTGATCAGTGTCACATTATCCAAAATACAATTATTCTAAGCCATATTAAACGGGTTAAACAGCGAAATAACCTCTGTAGCAGAGCATAGAGCTTCCCTCCATGCAAACAAATCCTGTACTGAGGAAAATACAAGAGGCCAATGCGAACAACTGGATTATGTTTTAAATACATATTGCTTCGAAGATTTTCTTAACACACCGTTATGACTGCGAGTTCAGTTAAATATTTTAATATATTGTTGTAGTCCATATAACTAGGAGTTCAAGGGGTGACAAAGTCTTTATACTGACACACACCATAGGTCTCACTCAGTTAACTACTCAGAACATTTCGAGTATTCCAGTTCTTTGAAGTAGAGGAAAGTCGTGCTGCTCTTGTCCTTCGTAAGCTTCACGGGAAGCTCAGTTGCTTTCCACAGGTACAGTTTCAACTCGCTACCAGCTTCAATAGTACAGCAGTTGTATAAAGGGTCTTCATCGATATGGTCCGTGGCGCGTCTGTACGCCATTCTCGAACTTAAATTCGAGATCACATCTTTTGGCTCACCGCAGTTAGTTGGTCTATAGTCAGGCTTCGTCTTAACTCTGTCTGGCGAACCATAAACTGTCCTACCAAATGAGTGTTTTACAGTGTATCCTGACATGACTTCAAAATGTGAAAGAAATATTTGTCTGCCTGTTTTTCTCTTCTCAACAAGAGAGTTGGTACCAAATCTAACGTTGCTTACCTTGAAAAGCAACTGAAAGGGCGCTGGTGATTAATCAAATACAAAACAATGGGAGGAATGATTGACAGCCTTTCAAATTCAAAACGTTCTTTGTTAAAAGGAATTCAAAGCTTATTTGCATTGTTTTTTTTTTAAATCAAGTTATAAGACTGAAGTCTCAATTTTTGCTTGTTGACACAAAATTATACAAAGTTCTATACCTCAGAGGAGGAACTTGAAGAACAGTAAAGGTTTGTCAGAGAAAAATATCGCTCATGATAATATTCACCAAAACAAATGGCTAATTTTGAAGTTGAACGGCAAAAGCAGAGTAACTGGAAAGATCGAGTCACTAATTCCATAGCACATAAATAACACTGGCCGATTTACTTAGAAAAACGAATAATTCGTGTCAGACATATAATGCTTCTAATACCACTGCACTTAGGAAAATACCAGACGCCGAACTGCCTCTTGTATTGACAAACAAAGCTATCACGAGGGACTGGAGACTGCTTATGACTTCATTACAAATGGAAAACAAGACCCCCAAAGTTCCTCTTTTCTAAGCAGATGTGCATACCGAATTATCAACACCCGCGACAGCCCTCTCTCTAAACGAAATTTCAAACAACTCAAGAACAACTACACTTCAATATTGCTGCGGTTAATCAAGGCTACAGAAATCATCTACTGGTAAGATTCTTAACTTAAGTTTTTTTTATAATATCTATAAATGTTAAGAAAAGTTTGATTCGACTTATGTTGCTTTGCGAGCAATATCACTTATTTGCTTAATCGATCAACTGTGACAGCAAGCCTTGCTTGCAACTTAAAATTCCTTAATGAACAAACAAATTGGTTTTTTATGTTCTCCTCCAGTTCGGGTGTTAATCTGATACTACATGTGCAACTGCAAAGTCACTGCAGGTTGGGTAATTTCAGATTTGTTTTGCGATTTTGAAATATTCTGAGGAGTCTTGATGACAGACTCAATTAGCAAGGAGTACACAATACCATAGTAAATTAAATGTGTTTTTCTGTGCCTTCAGCGACTAAAATAAAGACCCATGACTGAATGTATTACAATGGTAGCCGCTGCCATCTGCGGGCAATCTTTTTTGGTTAACATTGAAGGTGTTTTCTTTAATGAGCGGAAATTCATAACTAATTGTCACCAGCGTGACAGTTTTCTCTCGAAGCGAGAAATTACAAACATTTTCAGAAAAAATACTTTTACTTATAAACGTCAATATTTTCACAATCAATCAACGTTATAGAAAAAGTGGCAGGTAGATATTTTTTTCTTTTTCTCTAATGGCTATATACTGGGAGTATAAGTATTATTCGACCAACATTGCTTTGCAAACAATATCAAATGCTTTGCTTAATCGATCAACTGTGACAGCAACCTTGTCTGCAATACAAAATTCCTTAAGTTTGAACCACACCGCGTTGGCTTTCCTAGGAATAACGATTCTCTTACTGAATCAGAAAAGTAATTAAAATCTTCCGCGAAACTAACTTACGGTAAAAAGTTTCAATTTTTGCTTTAGTTGTTGAGAATGAAATTAGAAAGCTGCGTCAAAGGAGGTTTTACTTTTCGACAAAACTGGCCAGAGTAACTAGAAAGAGTCGCCGAATCCTAGAGCGTGTAGATTAACATTTGTTGCGTAATTCGTCTCAGAAATTACTTGTGCCTTGGTAGATACGATACACATCAAAACTCTAAGAAAGAGCGGTTTAAGAGCGGCTTGTGTGTCACATGTACTGTACAAAACAAAACCACAAAGTGCTTTCTTTCTTAGCGGATGTGCATACCGAATTATCAACACCCGTGACAGTTCAGGAGAACGAGCTAGAACGAAATTTGAAACAACTTCAGAATAACTACACTTTAACACTACTACTGTTAATCAAGGTTACTAAATCATCTACTGGTAGCGTTCTTTTCTTCACTTTTTCTCCGATCACGTCTATATATGTTGAGAAAAGATTGATTGGAGTAACATTGCTTTGCGAGCAATATTACATACTTGCTTCATCGATCAACTGTGACAGCAAGCCTTGCTTGCAACCTAAAATTCCTTATGAACAACAAAATTGGTTTTGTTCTTTTCTTTTCGTTAATTGGGGGCAATCTTGTTTGGTTAGCATTTGAGGTAGCCCCACTAGTAACATTCAGAACTATCAGAGTATATTTTTGCTGGCTAAATAGCTGGGATATTACAATACATAGAACGTTTTGGTGTGTATGCTAAAATTTGAATCTACTCAGTTTAACACTTGGCCAGGGTAGACAGTGATCCGACAACTAAATCAATTGAAAAAAATTACTTGTTTTTTTTTTTTTTTAATTTATTTCTGTAGTTACAGCAAGTTGCTCCTACAAGGAAACTTATAAACCTTCAGTCTAAGCCAACTGTAAATGCACCACATTGCGATTATTCTCGAAAATGCTGATCAGTGTCACATTATCCAAAATACAATTATTCTAAGCCATATTAAACGGGTTAAACAGCGAAATAACCTCTGTAGCAGAGCATAGAGCTTCCCTCCATGCAAACAAATCCTGTACTGAGGAAAATACAAGAGGCCAATGCGAACAACTGGATTATGTTTTAAATACATATTGCTTCGAAGATTTTCTTAACACACCGTTATGACTGCGAGTTCAGTTAAATATTTTAATATATTGTTGTAGTCCATATAACTAGGAGTTCAAGGGGTGACAAAGTCTTTATACTGACACACACCATAGGTCTCACTCAGTTAACTACTCAGAACATTTCGAGTATTCCAGTTCTTTGAAGTAGAGGAAAGTCGTGCTGCTCTTGTCCTTCGTAAGCTTCACGGGAAGCTCAGTTGCTTTCCACAGGTACAGTTTCAACTCGCTACCAGCTTCAATAGTACAGCAGTTGTATAAAGGGTCTTCATCGATATGGTCCGTGGCGCGTCTGTACGCCATTCTCGAACTTAAATTCGAGATCACATCTTTTGGCTCACCGCAGTTAGTTGGTCTATAGTCAGGCTTCGTCTTAACTCTGTCTGGCGAACCATAAACTGTCCTACCAAATGAGTGTTTTACAGTGTATCCTGACATGACTTCAAAATGTGAAAGAAATATTTGTCTGCCTGTTTTTCTCTTCTCAACAAGAGAGTTGGTACCAAATCTAACGTTGCTTACCTTGAAAAGCAACTGAAAGGGCGCTGGTGATTAATCAAATACAAAACAATGGGAGGAATGATTGACAGCCTTTCAAATTCAAAACGTTCTTTGTTAAAAGGAATTCAAAGCTTATTTGCATTGTTTTTTTTTTAAATCAAGTTATAAGACTGAAGTCTCAATTTTTGCTTGTTGACACAAAATTATACAAAGTTCTATACCTCAGAGGAGGAACTTGAAGAACAGTAAAGGTTTGTCAGAGAAAAATATCGCTCATGATAATATTCACCAAAACAAATGGCTAATTTTGAAGTTGAACGGCAAAAGCAGAGTAACTGGAAAGATCGAGTCACTAATTCCATAGCACATAAATAACACTGGCCGATTTACTTAGAAAAACGAATAATTCGTGTCAGACATATAATGCTTCTAATACCACTGCACTTAGGAAAATACCAGACGCCGAACTGCCTCTTGTATTGACAAACAAAGCTATCACGAGAGAGACTGCTTATGACTTCATTACAAATGGAAAACAAGACCCCAAAGTTCCTCTTTTCAAAGCAGATGTGCATACCGAATTATCAACACCCGCGACAGCCCTCTCTCTAAACGAAATTTCAAACAACTCAAGAACAACTACACTTCAACATTGCTGCGGTTAATCAAGGCTACAGAAATCATCTACTGGTAAGATTCTTAACTTAAGTTTTTTCTAATATCTATAAATGTTAAGAAAAGTTTGATTCGACTTATGTTGCCTTGCGAGCAATATCACTTACTTGCTTAATCGATCAACTGTGACAGCAAGCCTTGCTTGCAACTTAAAATTCCTTAATGAACAAACAAATTGGTTTTCTATGTTCTCCTCCAGTTCGGGTGTTAATCTGATATTACATCTGTAACTGCAAAGTTACTGCAGGTTGGGTAATTTTAGATTTGTTTTACTATTTTCAAATATTCTGAGGAGTCTTGATGACAGACTCAATTAGCAAGGAGTACACAATACTATAGTAAATTAAATGTGTTTTTCTGTGCCTTCGGCGACTAAAGTAGACCCATGACTGAATGTATTACAATGGTAGCCCGCTGCCATCTGCGGGCAATCTTTTTTGGTTAACATTGAAGGTGCTTTCTTTAATGAGCGGAAATTCATAACTAATTATCACCAGCGTGACAGTTCTCTCTCGAAGCAAGAAATTACAAACATTTTCAGAAAAAATACTTTTACTTATAAACGTCAATATTATCACAATCAATCAACGTTATAGAAAAAGTGGCAGGTAGATATTTTTTTCTTTTTCTCTAATGGTTATATACTGGGAGTATAAGTTTTATTCGACCAACATTGCTTTACAAACAATATCAAATGCTTTGCTTAATCGATCAACTGTGACAGCAAACCTTGTCTGCAACACACTGAATTCCTTAAGCTTGAACCACACCACGTTGGCTTTCCTAAGAATAAGGATTCGCGAAACTAACTTACGGTAAAAAGTTTCAATTTTTGCTTTAGCTGTTGAGAATGAAATTAGAAAGCTGCGTCAAAGGAGGTTTAACTTTTCGACAAAACTGACCAGAGTAACTTGAAAGAGTCGGCGGATCCTAGAGCGTATAGGTAACATTTGTCATGCAATTCGTCTCAGATATTACTTGCGCCTTAAGAGATACGATACTCATCAAAACTCTAAAAAAGGCGTTGTAAGAGCTGGCTTGTTTGTCACATATACTGTAGAAAACAAGACCACAAAGTGCTTTCTTTCTGGGCGGATGTGCATACCGAATTATCAACACCCGTGACAGTTCAGGAGAACGAGCTAGAACGAAATTTGAAACAACTTCAGAACAACTACACTTCAACACTACTACCGTTAATCAAGGTCACAGAATCATCTACTGGTAGCATTCTTTTCTTCACTTTTTCTCCGATCACGTCTATATATGACAAGAAAAGATTGATTGGATGAACATTGCTTTGCGAGCAATATCACATACTTGCTTAATCGACCAACTGTGACAGCAAGCCTTGCTTGATATACAAAATTTCTTATCAACGACAACTGACTGGCTTTCTTCTGTTCTCCTCTAGCTCGAGTTTTGATCTGATACTACATGTGCAAATCGCAGAGTTACTGCAGGTTGGGTAATTTCATATTTGTTTTACTATTTTGAAATATTCTGAGGGACCCTCATTGATGACAGACTCTACTTGCAACTGAAGGAGTAAACAATACTGTGAATTTGTTTTTCCCGTGCTTTCGACGCCTCAAATAATGACCCATAATGTATTACACTGGTAGCCTGCAATCTGCGGGCAATCTTGTTTGGTTAGCATTTGAGGTAGACCCACTATCAGAGTTTATTTTTGTTGGGTATAAATAGCTGGGATATTACAATACATGTAACGTTTTGGCATCTATGCTAAATTTTGAATCTACTTTAACACTTGGGGTAGGCAGTGATCAGTAACTGCATCAGTTTCATACAATCACACGTTTTGTTTTTTTTTTTCAATTGCTGTCGTTACTGCGACTTGCTCCTACAATGAAACATATCAACCTTCAGTCTACGCCAACTGTAAATGCACCACATCGCCATTATTCTCGGTAATGTTGATCAGTGTCATATTATCCAAAATACAATTATTCTGAGCTATATTAAACGGATTTAATAGCGAAATAACTTTGTAGCAAAGCTTAGACCCTCACTCCAAGCAAACAAATCGATCCTGTACTGAGGAAAATACAAGAGGCCAATGCTAATTCAGTTTGTTGTTGTTCATATAACTAGGAGTTCAAGAGGTGACAAAGTCTTTTTACTGACACACACCATAATTCTCAATCAGTTAACTACTAACATTTCAAGTATTCCAGTTCCTTGAAGCAGAGGAAAGTCGTGTCGCTCTTTTCCTTCGTAATCTTCACGGGAAGCTCAGTTGCTTTCCACAGGTACAGTTTCAACCCGCTATCAGTTTCAATAGTACAGCAGTTGTTGTGAGGGTCTGCATCGATATGGTCCGTGGCGCGTCTGTACGCCATTCTCGAACTTAAATTCGAGATCACATCTTTTGGCTCACCGCAGTTAGTTGGTCTATAGGCAGGCTTCGTCTTAATTCTGTCCGGCGAAGAATATACTGACCTACTTTTTGAGCTACGGGATAGTGCCATGACTTCAACACGTGAAAGAAATATTTGTCTGCCTATTTTTCTTTTCTCAACAAGAGAGTTGATACCAAAACTGACGTTGCTGAACTTGAAAAGCAACGGAAAGGGCGCTGGCGATTAATCAAATACAAAACAATGAGAGAAATGATTGACGGCCTTTCAAATTCTAAACATATTTTAAAAGTTTATTTGCATTGTTGTTAATCAAGCTGTAAGACTGAAGTTTCAATTTTTGCTTATTGACACGAAATTATAAAAAGCTATATACCTCAGAGGAGGAACTTGACGAACAGTAAAGCTTTGTCAGAGAAAAATATCGCTCATCATAATGTTCACCAAAATAAATGGCTAATTTTGAAGTTTAAAATGAGACCAGAGTAAATGGAAAGATCGAGTCACTAATTCTATAGCGCATAAATAATATTGGCTGATTTACTTAGAAAAACGAATAATTCGTGTCAGACATATAATGCGTCTAATATTACTTGCGCCTAGGTAAATCCGAGACGCGAAAACTATTGTGTTTATAGCTTATGCATATGTGCATATATGTTTGGTACAGTTGATGTGATGTCTTGCGGGACTTTATCAACTAAATAAATGTAGATGTAGTAAATGGCTTTTGTTAGAGAGACTGTTTTACACTTGATTACAAAGGAAAAACAAACCGCAAAGGTCCTCTTTTCTAAGCGGATATGCATACCGAATTATCAACACCCTTGACAGGTTTCGCTCGTAACCCTTAACGCACTCTCCATGCTCATGCCTGAGTCTTCAGTGCGAAGAAACGTGCTGCGCAGCTTTTTATGCATCTCTAGCTTTGCTTGCGTGCTAGATAGAGGGTACGTTCGTAAGCGTTTTTATTGTTAATTCTGTCCCCAAAAAATTAATTCCCCACGAAAACAATACACCAGCTTTCCATTACTGACATTAAAATGTTGCTGCTTATCGGAAGAATTGGGAAAGCATATAAAGTTCGTCTGCAGTAACTTGTTTGGTTTACACGATCGACGAAATTCCCGCCGTGTTTCAAACTTGGAGCCGGAGCACAGCCAAAACTCACGCATGCTTGTTACGTTTTTCCGCTCTGAAGCCTAGGCAGCTCGATCTCTTGTTACATTTGTTTCACTAAGCTGAAGTTTTCTCTGATTATAAAATTCGTTGTTCTGCATTGCCACTAACCTCCACCAACTCCTCAAATAATGTTCAGGACGTTGAAACCTAAATTTGTGTAAATTTGGTTCATTGCTATTTATGCCTTGAGAAATATAACTAATAAATTATTTTTACCAGTAAACGTCTTTGATTTGACCCAGGCCTTAAACTACTTGGGTGCATGAGGTGGCGGGTAAATTTGTGGTTTTAGTATAAGTACATGCATGGCTGTCTAAGAACACACAAGAAATGTGCGAATCTGTTTTTCAAGCCAGATCGACCGGACCGCTGTTACAGGGACTCCCTCTTAGTTAATAAGAGTTAACTTTTTATTAATACCGTAATTTTGAAACTATAGACGAACACCACCGACAAAGGATGCAGGGAAACGAAAGTGACGACAACTTGCTGGGCATAATAAAACGTGGTAAATTTGAGGAAATTGAGAGTGAAATCAAGCCAACGGCCTTCAAATATTGTGAATCCAATTCCTTGCTAATGGCTATGAAGGTGCGTAGTTATTTTGGTGCGCCGGAAGTCTGTGCGCATCTTCTCGGCCCAGTAACAGGGTTAATCGAGTGTAAGTTGCTATTCTTGCGAATATTAATTCTCAGTTCTTGGCACGTCATTTCCGGTCTTAGAGAGCGTAAATCCTTAAGATTTATTGGTTGTTGACCCGGTGGGGTACTCCCAGAAAAATTTGGTCGGGGTGTGCGTCTCGCTTCCCAAAACCTTTACCCTGTTTATGACCAAAGTCTGCGATTATCCCTACCCTATTTATATCCTGACCAAAACTTTGATACCCTAATTATGACCTGGCCCTAATAAATACCCTGTTGCAGACCTGCCAAATAATTAGTTGCCTCTTTCAGACCGACGTTAAAGGCATTTTGAAGGGCTTTTGTTGCTGTGTTATCGATAATGATGAAAACGTAGCCTCTTTTAAAAAACATACCCAAAATGGCCAAAATCTATATCCTATTTATGACCAGCAGACGGCTAAAAAGCCATACATCGGGGCCGCCTTACCTATATAGTCCATATCAGGGAGTATCCCCCCGAGTTATTGACCGCGTGTAAGGTCAAGATGGCTGGATATTGGCCGAGTGCCTTTTTGCGTGTTTATGGACCTAGACGGAATCGCGGTCCGTATACTTACAAAAAATAACAAGGCCAATATCCAGTCATCTTGACCGAACAAACTTGGTTAATGAGAGATTTATTACAAGCTTTCGGTAAAATTTTATCTGGTAATGGCTCTTTCCTAAATGCTTCGCTACTGTTTGCAAAACTTGCGGAAAACACTATCAAAGTGTTTGCTCAAAAGAAGTTCTTAAATTTTTTAATCTTAAATGTGCTTTTTGTTGTTTGTTACTATTACGATTAGTTAATAAATCAATACACAAATCGGTCTTGCGCGGAGTGCTCGTTAGATTGGAAATTACTGTACTCGCCAGATTAGTCTCTGAATTGTACTCCACTTGGGGTAATTACTAGACTTTTAATTATATAAACAATAGCTTCCATTTGGCGCGAAAATATGCTCGGATATTTGTCCGTGGACATTATCTGTTCCGAGAACCGAACAGTTTTCCGAAATCGTAGCTCAAGGAAAACTGTGAGCTTTGAGGAACAGATAAGGTCCAAGGACAAATATCCAAGCATATTTTCAAAGTCAAATGGAGGCTATTATGTTTATTATCCTTCAAATATTTTTCACAACACGTGCACTTTGGAAAATTGGGGAATATATATTTATAACTTATCTCACCGTTGGACTATTAGGTAAACTTTGAACTTCGTAGGCGGGCAAACCAGAAGGGACCCGATGAAAAAAGGTTTCATCAGTTGGCAAACTCTGTAGAGAGTTTCGCGGCCTGTTTGCTTGATCCACTGCGATATGATCAAGACAGGCGTGAAAAATTTGGTGATGGATTGGATGAGATATTGAAAGACGCCATTCAGCTAAATCAGAAAAAGGTAGGTGGAATGAAGAATAGAACGGCTCAACTTACATACCCTCTTTCTTTTTTGTATAAGAATATATTTTATAAGAATATCGAGGCTGAAATTTGCGAAATTTTAAAAATGTCTAAAGAATAAAGCCGAGGCTGAGATTTTGTAAAGAATATAATTTTGTGTTGAAAATCTGTAAAAACAATATACAATTATATGTTTCAAACTAAACCGTATAAAATTCTTTGATTTTGAAAAAGGAATGCATAGCTATGTTTCCAAAGTTGGCTTTAATCGAAATCCGTCAAAAAA